AGGATAACCATTTCAATCATAAAAAAATCGATTTTAGGCAAGAAGAACGAGTTTTGGAAGTAATCCTCAACAAAATCTGGCTAGAAAAATCAAAATTCCCAGCACCAAATCCTTGGACTCATCAAGTCCACTATGGAACTCGTTAAGTAGGACCTACTCATCAAGTCCATACATGGACTCGGTGAGTCTGTCGGTCAAAAACCAAAAAATTCGATTTTCAAGATCTTTGGTGGCTCACTTTTGCATCTATTCACTAGAAAAACGACCTAGGCTCTGATACCACTGATGGGTTACGAGCATAACATCATTCATATGGTGTTCATGCAACCCTAATTGCTTTGATCTAGGTTTTTCTACTATGAACACAACAACATTGAATATCAAAGCAAAGATCCTAAGAACTAGCACACAACAGTCTAATTGACATATAAACTGGGGTTTAGATCATACCTTTCTTGTTATGTAGTAATAACAAGTTCTCCTTGAATATCCTTGACCTTTGAAAGCTTAGTGTCTCAAATATTGCACATCTAATGGAGTCACAAACACCACTAGCAACAAGATGACTTAGGAGAGGAAGGAGGAGGCATCAAAACGTCCTACGGTTTCTCTTATAAGGTTGGACAAACTTTTGGAGGCTTAAGAGTTGCTTTTATACTTAGGCTTCTAGGGTTATCAACTAGGAAACCTAATCCAGCTGTTTAGTCCTTAAGCAGCCCAAAGATCCTTCCAGAAATTCCTTGGAGGATTTCTATATGGACTCTCATATAGAACTTGTCCATTGCATCCTTATAGATCCTAAGCCTAACTTTGTAACTATCTTATAATTATAGTATCGGTCCCCTTTATTTTTATTAATCTCTTTTAGCCACTAAATTAATTCTTGACTAATATTAATTAAACAATATCATTTCACTTTCAATATATTACTCACATAATATATTAATAAATCATAATTAATCCTCTTTCTCTTTAATTCATCTTATCAGTTGCTATGGTGAAGGCAACCCAAAAGGACCACGCTCATAATCGGGTCAAGTACATACCAAAATAGTTATGAGCTTAGACACCTAATCCAACAGAATGAAGGATCCTATTGTTAGCAGATGATGGTTGGTGGACATTGGGAACGCCATCTAGACTAGCTTTTACCCCGAGGAGTTGAAGATCAGATTTGCATCTTGTCTTTTAAAAGATAGAGCATGTGATTGGTGGAATGAGGTAGACTATGCTTTGGGAGGCAAGGCGGTTAAGATGATTACCTTGGATGATTTTGTGAAAACTCTTGATTTGGTTCCTATTCATTTGCGCGAGAGCAAGGTGATCATGGGGATAGATTGGTTGAGCCCTAATGGGGCGATGATTGATTGTGGATGTAAGTTAGTTCAGGTTCGAATCCCTAGTATCCAATTTATTTGGTTCCTACTCCTTTATTGCCAATATCTTCGTCAAAATCAAAAAAATTTGCAAACTTATCAGGTACATTCTCTCCAAGCTGCAACCTTTTGTTTTTATGTTTTATTGAGTTGTTCATTCATCTCTAAGCATTTAGGAAAACACATCATTTTAAGCTTGGGGAAGCGGTTACTATAAAAAATTGCATTTTTTGTTAAGAATTTTAAAACTTTCAGTTATGTATTATTTGCATTAAAAAATTATGAAAAAAATTCAAAAAATATTTGATGTTTATATTTTTTATTTTCCTGCATTTATAACCCCCCCCCCCCCCCCCACCCAACAAAAAAAAATAAAAAAATTTATTTCTAGTGATTTTAGTACTTATTTTCTACACAAAAAAATCAAAAACAAAATTCTGAAAAAAAAAAAAAAAAAAAAAAAAAGCAATACCGTGAATTTAGTATTTGTTTTCTACATTCTTGCATTAGTTAGCTCTGTATCCAAAGTAATCCGATTGACGATGGTAAGTTCAATAATAGTTCTCATAACTACGAATCGCAAAATATCATGATATGAGATGTTGGCTGTTAGAAAATAAAAAAATGGCATACAAAAACACTGTGTTTGTGGTAATAACAATTAAAATTATTAGCTTTGGAATGTTTAAAAAGAACCCTGATGGACAAGTCTGAACCCAAAAAATATGGTCCTATTTGTTGTGATGTGTTACCCTCACCGTAACAAAGAGCCTTATTTCAGATCCATATAGACAAGAAGAAAGGAAGGGTACTAACTATCATATTTGATATCTAAGTCAAAGTTTAAGCATTTAATCGAAGAATCTCAAGAAATTCAAAAAGATGATTTAAAAACTGAAAGTCAAAGGAAAAAAATACAAAAACTCAAGTTCAATTAATTTAGAAGCCATCTCAAAGTCCACTATGGTGCGAACAACAAAGGTGTGATATGATATTTGTTGCTCTCGAAAAAGTGAAAGAATAGAGTTGGGCTCTTACGAGGGTTGGCTCACTACTTCGGCGAAAGCTAATTTGACGTGATGGGTTCTTAAGGATACGTAGATTCTGGTTCTTAATTAACTAGTCGTGAGGACATGAAATTCTTAAATGTATTATTTTCGCTTGCAAAGCTAATTAAGGTATAAAATTTTAATAAAAGTTACAATTAGTTATTGGTTCAGACTCTCAAGCTTCTTCCTGAATTTGGGAATATGTGAAAGATGAAAGGTATCATAATGATTCCTTAGGTAGTGATTTCATTGGAGCTTTTCTCGGTGTTAAGTCCGATCATGTGTAAAAAAGAGTGAAGTTATTTTAGTTCAAGTTTTTAGTTTTCTTCATTTCATTCTAATTTCTTTTTATGTTATCTACATTTTTCCATCTGTTTATAATGTTTCATCTTTTTATTACTTGAGAGCAAGTAAGGTTCAAGTTTGAGGAGATTTGATAGATACCATTTTATGCATCATTGAGGATAGTTTTTATTAGCATTCAACATCATAATTTTTACATTTTCATGTCATTACCTTAAGAAATGTTCAACTCATGTCTTTTATCAGAATTCTCGTATTGTTAGTGTCTTTGTGTCTTTTTTAGATAATTCGAGTGGAACGGTACTTTGGGGACTGCTGAATGCATATTTAGAGCCTAAATGGTGATGGAATTGAAGAATGATGCTAAAGAATGATATGAATGCTTAAGTTGAAGAATCTCATCCAAATAAAGCCGAAAAGTCAAATCTACAATCGTAGATTTGGACATCTGCTTTCGCATAAATGTGTCGAGTATTTTTAAGGTCGAAAAAAGTCATCTGGAGAAAAGAAATAAAAATGTGTGATTACATTTATGTGACCCAACTCCAAAAACATTAAAAGTAGCACGATCCTTAATTTAATGGCAATTATGGAGAAAATCTATATTTCTACGATCGTATTTGGCATATCTGTGATCGTAGATTATGTTATTTTGTTCTGGAAGCTTTTGTCTTGTGTATAACTACGGACCTCCTGATTAGATTTGAAGGTTAGCCGGTTCCAGACGACTAAATATCCTTCTGAAGGCAACTTATGACATGTTTCACCACTTTTTGAAGATCTAAAGGTTGTGTATAACTACGGACCTTCTGATCAGTTAACGTTTCCTTTTACTAGTTTAAATTAGCTTTTAGTCACATCTAGCTAAAACCCTAGTTTCAGTTCTACATTAGGCTAGTACTTTTAATGTGATTAGTTATCAGATCTGGTTTTGTTTATGTGATTCTATCTAGTTGTTTCACTTTTAAGCATAATGAACGTTTGATTTTTAATTCTTGTTAGTCTGATCACCAAGCTAGGGTTTTATCATTCCAATTAACCAATTAATAGAATATGTAATTGTTCTTGTCAACTGGTAATAAGTAACAAGTATTAAGTTCGTTTCGTGTTTGGGATTTAATTCTGATATACACTTAAATTTCATACATTTATGTTTCCTATCTTGTGAGAAGTATTGGGTATTACGGGGATTTTTACACAGATCTTAATGCAACTTTTTTTTTTATCTTAATTAAGAGCTCATTTAATTTAGATAGTAAAAAGTTGTTCCTTCATTCTTTACCATTCATACCCTCTAGATGTTTGATCGTCTCAATTGTATTTAATATAACATTTCCAATCAACAGAAATGCATTGTTGCCCTATACTCGTTATCATAACAGAGTTGGCCACCACCTTCTAGAGTTTCCCATCTTTTTTCATAAAAGTAAGATTATGAATAAAGCGCACATTCAAATTCTTCGATTTGATTGATTCCATATTTGGGATTCAATTTTGTTCGATCGCAAACCCGGGTTTAACAAAAATCAATGATTGGTACCCACATCATCTACTATGAATCGTTCCTGGATTCTACATTTGGGATTTATCAATGGAGTTCCCTGTCGCCATATTCCAATTTATCGATTGATTTGCCAATATATAATCAAGGAAATGTAGAGGCGATAGAGGGAGAAAATGGAAGTGTAATTAATCTACCTGAGTTGGTTTATGGTCTTGGTTTTCCTTAGGAGGAAGATGGGGTGGGAGAAGGGTGTGGGGTTTATGGAAATGGGGTGAGGATGAAGTCATTATACATTGAATTAGTGGCTTATTTTTAGCTCAATGTATAGAAAGAACAACCACACAAGGAAAACTAAGCTTAAGAACGAATAGTGCAATAAAAAGAACTTGTAATGAAGTTGTATGCAACAACCTTTCTTGATATATATTGTGTTGGTATTGGACTAATTTGGGGTCTTGCAAAAGTTAATGTGACATAATTGAACGTCCAATGATATTATCTAATGATATGGATGATTTAAGAATGATGGCGAGACATAAAAGTAGATGGGCAAATGTAGATAAATGCATATGTGATCTTTTAAAGGCAGTCTAGCATTTTCATTAATAAAAGACAAATAACTTATAAGTTGTTAAAATCTCTCTATCGGCTTATACAAACTTTAAGACGAGACTACTTATTCATGCATATGATCACATTTTGTATGATCGAATTAAAAAACATGTTGCAACAAAATGTAACATCAACCACAAAAACTAACAAAACAAATCAGTATGCTGCTAACTGAGCGAAGTTAATCGGGGTCACAAATTGTGGTCCACCATTGTATAAAGTTTCGGCTGCAAGCTTGGAAGCATATTGTGTCGGATGGAACAAATCCCAAAAGAGGTAGTTGTTGCGGCTTGAGCATAAATTTGCTTTCGGACTACAAGGCTTTTCTGCATTTAACCACCCTTCCCCACAACACGCTCTGTCCACATACGTAAAATCTGATAAAATGGAAAAGAAAAAAGAAACGAAATTTAGCAACATATAACCATCAACAGCTAAATGTGAAAAGTCAAAAGAACAATGTGTGTCGCAAAGAGTTTCGTTTATGTACTTACTGAATAGTTGTGGGAAATTGATGACGTTAATCGTCATCTCATATGAATTCCCGAGTGAATACTTCATGCCTGATAATTTACAAGATAGTTTCTTCAAGAGAGTATCGAGCGATGAGTGAAAAGCCCGAGCAAAAGTGTTTTCTATCTCAAAACATCCCCCGGTAACATTAAAAATTCTTTGTGAAGGACAACATCCGATTGGTGGTACGCTTATGATCCCGAACTTCCTTGCTCCAAGGTTGTACAAAGACTTCAAAGATTCCACAACATTGTTTTAGTTTGGCTTCGTGATAATTATATAGTAAATACTTAAAAAAATCACAATATTAATAAACATGGTATTTTGTGACACAAACTTCCATCTTAAAACCCCAATATGGCATCTTTTGCGACACAGTTGTATAAAAAAAATTTCACCACGCATTGTTAATTTGAACTTTGTGGTAGTCACACGTATGCAAATATGTACCTCAATATGACATTCATATGCCGTCATTAAAGAAGCGATGAAAATAGTAGGATCAACGGTGCTCCTGTTTTCGAAATAGCCAAAAATGTCATTGCTCCCAACACTAATGGCAAACACGGATGTTGCAAGTATGTTTTTTGTAGCGCCTTTTCCTTTTACCAAGGTTAGATTGCCACGTACTGTCTTGAACTGCTTGATTTGCTCTGACATCGATACAATATTCTGTTCACATTTTGACCAAAATAATGAGCAAAAGATATGGATGCAGTCAAATGTCATTGTGAACGTGTGCCCCTTAAATGGAGTTATTTTTAAGATTTTGTTTATAATTTTTACCACAAAAAAAAATTGAAACATAAACGTGCAATTTAATTTAAAAAAAAAAAAAATTAAGTATATGACTAAATGAGGAATATATGTAAATTCAACTACCTTACCCGTTAATGATCATATGTACAAGACTTACCAGGTGTTTCCCTGTTACATCCAGAAGACCAGATGCTCCTGATGCGAAATTTACCCCTCTAAACATTGGCTTTCTAAGACCAGCTTTCAGGAGGAACAAGTATGGCTGTGGGCTTCTTTTTTGTCCCATTAGCTTTGCTGAAATCAATGAAAAAAATAATATATCAGTACAATTTAACTCTAACTACATTTCATGATAATTTGATCGTACTAACACAAATAATCTGCACTGTTGAAGCCGTTGCTGAAACGTCCTGTTGGTCTAGAATTAGGAAAATCAATCCCATTGTAAGGAAAATTAGCTCGTATTTTGGTTTTTGGCAAAAAAGAGTTTGTTCCCACATCAGCAGTTGAATCACCAAATATGAAAATGGCAGGCGTAGTGAAATTAATAGTGATAATGGCACTAGAAACTTGTGAAACCGTGAAAAAAGTACCCACGAGAAGATAGAAAAAAACCAAGTACATTTTTCCCATCAGAATGTTTATGTAATAGGGATTTTTTTTTTCTTCTTGATAGTGAATATTGAGTTATATATGAAGAATATAAGTATTTCTTAACGAGCGAATAAAAATATATATAGGGTGTGGGATTGAATATTAGACAAAACATGAGTGAGTCAAGTACATTGAAGTAATCCATGAAGTTCTACAAGAAGTCTATGTTGAGTAGGACGGATCGTTCCAACAATCGCTTGATTTAAACTTTTTATTTTGACACTGTTGTCTCTTATAGCTAAAAATATTCCATTAACACTACAAAAGGATGAAATAAATTAATAATCAACTTAGATTATGCATTATATACAATACTTGCCGTCCATGTCACAAAGCTAACAATGTATGTTTTCAGATTTTGGAAACATATTATTGAATTTCGGATTTTGGAAAAATATATGTTTGATTTGTTAAAGTCAAAGCTACCTTTAATTTCTTAGTCAAATGAACAAACGATAAATGCATGATCTGATGATAATTAGTATGCTATATATGCTAGCTAGCTATGCGCCATTGGTCTAAAATATACGGTTATAAAAATATTTTGGTTGTAACCAACTTTATGTATGAATCATGTCATGATCACTTGTATGGTAGCAGTGGTTCACAAACAACATAAGGAAGCTGAGCATGTATGGAACTTTTTGTTCAATGTTTGACGAATTTCATTCATTAATAACTTGTACTGTGAGCATGACAATACATAGTTTAATTACATAGTTTAATGGGAGAGTGGAATGAGATGAGATGCCTAATTGATAGTCAACGGATTAAATTCTATCATTGTGGGATGTCATGTTGGCATTCAATGTATATAGAGTTCAATGGTCATTGAACTTTTTAATGGGAAAAATAAAATTATAAAACCTTTTAACTATTAAATATATATTTCATTGAACTCTATTGAGCTCAATGCATTGTAGGAAAATTGATGTAGAGTTTTATAGTAACTAAAATGATGATATATCAATCCATTAAACACTAATAAGTTTAATATATTGTGGATACCCTTAAATCCTTGAAAGATGGCAGCAAACTTAATCGGGATTTCATAGAAATCAAAGATCCATGCTAAGAAGAACCCACGATAGCATGCAACCGAAGTTTAAGTCACCACCATTGTACTTATCACCAGCATCACAATATATAAAAGTGTCTAAACCTACATATATGAACCGATGTGCACTAATAGTGATGCATGAAAACAAGATCATCAAATTCTGATAAAAAACCTCAATCTGTGTCAAATGCCCGAGCTTCACCATAGTCGTCGATCTTAATTCCAATCCAACGGTCAAATGATATGCATAGTACAAAATTATTAACCGTGAAAACTTCCCTCCGTTTACCATCGAATGTCGCTGCTATATATTGTTTCATGTCGCCGCTATTATCGTTGTCGGTAATAACTTAATTTGATTTCATCCCCTTGTCGACATTTTGCTTTCTCACTATCACTGCGACTTCTCTTCTCTGGCGATTACGGCTCCACTCCGACCCCTTGAAAAGCTTAAGGTCGTTCACCAGTTGATTACCACTTCTGAGGAATAAGCCTCTATTCCAACGACACCTATCGGTTTTTTTAACAGTAATTTCACTACAAGAATAAGCCTCTATTCCAACGACACCTATCGTCGGTAAAAATTTTACTGTGCCGACGACATGTCATCGGTATAATATTTTGTTTACTTTGACGACATAGCATTGATATGAGACTCTATTCCGACGACTTGGCGTCTCTATAGGTGCAGCAGGAATGAAAAGCATTTTTGCGGTATACTGAAAACCTATGCCGACTATTTATCGTCAGTATAGGTTACGAATTTTTGGATTTTGAGTTATTTATTTTCCTTGGTGCAAGAATCACTAACGATGTCGTTTTGTGGAGAGCTATCCCGACGACATATCGTCTCTACATGTGTGACGAGAACAAAAAACATTTTGGCGATCTGTGTGACAATTATATGTCGACGACATGTCGTTGGGATAAAAATGACGATCCGTGTGATAGCTCTATGTCGACGACATTTCGTTAGGGTTGTAGCCTAATACAACTCAGTAGACATTGTAGATTGTTTCCTTTGTTCCTCCACCTCACAATGAAGACTCACGCTTCTGGTCCTTCCTTTCACCGGCGACTTGCTGATACGTTTCTTACTCGTTATATTCTTCTTTGTTAGTGATTGTTTAAGTTGTTGAGTCCAATTTTGGGGTTTTTTGTCCGGGAAGTTTCCAGTTTTTTTTTTTTTCAAAGTTTTTTTTTTCACTAATTTGGTTTCTTTGGTTATTTTCCGCTGAAGTACTGATTGAAGGACCACCTGTGACGACCCACCTTCTCCTTCCGGCCACCACAACCCACATAACATAACATGTAGCATATTTGATTTCTAATTTTTTTTCCTGAAATGATGTTTTTCTAGTGTCCACCAGCCATCACCGGAGGACCATGGCAGAAGTCAACCACCGGAATCCCGCACGCACATACCACAGAACAAGTTTGTATTTTTTTTTTTTTTTTTTTCGGTCACCTATACCGACGACTTGTCATCAGAATACGTATATAATAAAACTTTATTTTTTTTCTTAGAAAATCACTCCCGACAACACTTTCTAGACGACATGTCATCGACATTGGTTTCTCTATACCGATGACATATTTGACTTTACCAACGGAGCTATTCCGACGACTTTGTACGGACAACATGTCGTCGATATAGGTTTTTCCAACGACAAGACGTCGGCATAGGAGTTGAAAATGTCTTATGTATAGGCATGGATTCTTGTAGTGTTTTAGGGCGTTTACCGGCGATTAGGTGTGTTTTCGTCGACATTTCGACCACAAAACCGCTAACAGTAAGTAATTTATTGTCCCTTCTATCAGTTTTTTTCCTCTGAAGAGTGTCCACTTTAAGACAATTTTTTTGTGATCAAGAAATCCACAAACAACCATTGTTGCTGCTGCTCCAACGAGGCCACCACCATTGCAGATTTTTCCGACGAAAACACTAACCACATGTGCTTCTGATTTCGATTTCAGGTTAGTGATTCTCTTTGGTATGCAAATAGATGGTATTTAGTATGCAAACAGATGGTATTTGAACTAAAAGAGATGGTATGCAAACTTTTATGAGCTAAAATAATTATAGAATTATTTTGGTCATATTCAAGGTTATGATAAGAAAACAAACGATTATTTTTTAAATTTAATGGTATACAAACATATGGTATTTTGTATATGGTATGCAAACTTTTGTTTATGTTTTTGTGTATTTGGTATGCAATCAAAAATTTGTGTGTGTATAATGTATGCATATGTGTATTTGTGTATATATTGTATATATGTGTAGGTATGATGGATGTATGTGTATTTGTGTGCAATAAGAATGTATGTATGTAGGATATCTTAATTTTTATGACTGAATTAGCCAAGCCTCAAAACTACAATGTTATAAAAAAAAAAATTTTAAAAAAAGGTATGATGCTATAAATTGTAATGTCATTTAATGCTATAATTAAAAAAATGCAAAGTAGGATGTTATAATTCATTTCGTCATGTAAAATATAATGTATAATTGAAACTTTATTTGGATTCCTAGTTTATGTGTATTTGTAATAGAAATTGTATATGTATATCTTATTTGCAGGAAATGGTGTCAATATGGCTCTTGTTTTTGTACACCATGGCTACTGTTATAAGTCGTGGATATGGGGGTGATGGAGCTAACGACCCACATTTCCTAAGAGGTAGAGGCGCTGGTCATCATAAACAGGATGATAAGTCTTATTATGAATTTTTAGTTACTATTTTTATTTAGTTATTATAAATTACCGTTTCTTATAATTTTTAATAATATTTGTAGTTGTGCCACATAGGAGAGTCTGGGTAAAACCAAAAAATCTTAAGCCTGAAAGAGCGCTCTTAAAGAATAAGGGCAAACCGATTGATATGGGGTATGTTAGGGATATGACATATGATCTCATAGGAGAGCTGAAGGACATGTTTGCACACGGAGTTGGGAAAATAATGGGGCAGATGGTCCCTTTTGATAAATGGACTTGGAAAAAAGTTTCCCCCGTGATAAAGGATACAGTAAAACTACATTTAGGGGTAAATTGTTTCTATAAGATTATTTTGTATGGATAATTATGAATGATTTTTACTTGGCTAACTTGTTTTTTGCTTTTTGTAGACAAAGTTTGATTTGGATGGGATGTCCCAGGATCCAGATGATGCTATGCTGTTAGAGAGTTTTGAAGTGGCTTTATTAAAAGGTTATCGAGAGCATAAAGTTGATGCAAAATAATATTTTTTTGCAAGTTGGAAGGTATGAGGATATCCCGAGAGCATTGGCCAAGCCCCCACATGATACGGTGGTTGATAATTAGTGGAAAACAGTAGAGTATTTTTAAACGGTTGAACACTAGCTGCTTCAGAAAGGAACAAAAAAGTCTGTGAAATGCAAATGATTGTGAACAGTGGGGTTGAGCTCGTATAGCAGTATTCGTTATAATAATGTAACATATGATATTTGTAATTATTTTTAAAAAAATATAATCTAGTTTTTAATGTTAAACATAACTTGAAGAGAGTGAATGTTTCGTAAGGCTCAAATCGATAGGAATGGTGTATTTATTAGTGTCGAGGCAGAACTGTAACACCGTAAATTTCAAAACAAAATTTTCAATTTTTTTATAAAACATAATTCCATCAATATTCATAAAAACAACCATTTTAATTATCCAAACAAGACAATACAAAATCCCAAGATCATAATATCAAGCTCCGAACGTGTGTGTGTACGGATCAAGCCGGTGCCTTCCCGCGGTCGTCACTAGTACCTGAAACAATAACATCAAACACTGTAAGCACAAAGCTTAGTGAGTTCCCCAAAATACCACATACAACACATATTAGCCACTCTAGGCTATAACTCTGTGGGTCCGTGCACCCAAATTCTGTGAACCCTCAG